TAGAAGTCTGTAGAAGTGTGTGCTCACCACGTGTTCTCGCATGTTCTCTCTTTCTTGATTTTTTATTTTATATGCAGAAAAAAAATCAAACCTGCTTCGTATGAACAATGGGTGAGTATAAAAATCGATTAGTTTTTCCGATTAATTTTTAATTCAGCTTCCGTCAAAGTTTCGATAATTTTTTTTATTCGCTATATATTCATATATATATGTTTGACTTTCATCGCTATTACATATATTGATATATTTTAAAATATATTAAATGACAAAAAAATATACATTATTCTTAACAAATATTAGTTATTTAAAAAAGTTAAACGTAAGTGCAGCGATAAGTAATTTTTGCAATTTTTCTCGTTTCTTCTTTGGTGCTCACGATATCTCAGATTTTCTCAAGAATCTACCATTAATAGGTGTTACAAAACACCTGCATATTATTGATGTAACATAAATCCTGTTTAATTTATACAACTTTTTAAAACATTAAAAGAGGTTTATTTTTAATGCCCGATTAAGATTACTTTCTGAAATCAGTATCAATGTAATTCTAAATTATCTTTACTTCTCTCTGAATGAAGATAAAAATATACGAAATTCATTTATTACTAATCAAGAATTATTATTGAAAATTGTTAAATACAATTATTTTGTAAAATTAATTTTGATCACACTATACGCGCTGATTATCATTCGGCTAACAAATAGCGTTTGTATGCTAATGTATTTTAATGAACGGACAAAGTGCTGGCTATACTTTTGATTGTTAGTACTGACAAAGTGAAAGCAAGCAAGATAAACTTAGATTATTAATTTTTACAATATAATTATAATAGATATTATAGTACGCAGCATTTTTTAGCATGTGCTAAAGAAAGCTCAAAAATTATTATTCTCCATATCTTTCATTTTCTTTCAGAGATGATAGATGATAGGAATGAGATACTAAATTGTTATCCTTCACATTGCACTGAATATCCCTACCTCGGCAGATTCGTCGCAAGAAAGGATGATATTACCTTCAGGTATCAATTTGTGAAGAAATTTTGTGGTCTTGACAATTGCGCCGACAATAATCCTAACATATATAAGTATGTCGACTATATATCTGGGATACCTAAACATTTTCCAAACTATGGAGCAGATCTTCCACAAACGTTCGTTATGGTACGTATATTAATTTCCTTATATTTTCTGTTATTTAATTGTCCTGTAGAAAGTAATTGCAATCTATCTTTGTGCTACAAAATTTTGTAACATTTGACACTTTCTGATTCTTTAATACAGAAAAATTATGGCGTGGATATCTCAATATCCCCATGGCGAGAGGAAGCAGAAGTTGATTATACACCAAGGGATATTAGGAACAAAAATATCAGTAATTATATCGGTATGTAATATTGTTTGAATTCATAAAAATGAAATATTGTTAAAGAAGATACGCTTCTGTGGAAAAGAAATTATAATTATATTTTCTGTTTTAAAGACATCGCGTTTGATACATGTGCATATCCAGTCAGAATTTCTATATACGAAATATATAATCCTGGAAATGTAATTAAAATTTGGGCTCAAAAACCTAGTGGTCAATGGGATCTATTGTGGAAGGGATCGCCTCAGATTGTGCCCCAGACATCAAGACTATTTTCGCCACCATTGCGAAAGTGTAACTTCAAAACCAGAACGTTCAGACTGGAATTTAAGAACACCATAATGAATTATGAAACAGCGATAGATGCTGTGATGTTTATTGGAACATCGAAAAAGATCTATTCCAAAAACTTTGGAGAGAGTTTAACTGATCTGCTAAAAAGAATAAACTGCACAGCTCTTCATCAGGAGGATGTTTATAATTTGACACCAGATTATAAAAATGCACACTCGGATATATGCACTCTTCGAATGAATGTTTCTGAATATTGTATTATTTATGAAAGGTATTACAATCGTCGACATTAAGTAATATTCAATATTTTTTTATTTTCTTAATGATAAAAATAAATTTGTCTTGACTTTATTTGCAGAAATATAAAAGAAGTTTCCAGAAAATGTTATGGGGAAAAATGTTATCATGATTACAAACGTACAAAAGTATCTTGGAAAGACATCCCTGATTATGTTTCCAGGATATTATCTTCAAAACATCATAATCAGAAATTATCAAAAAATGATCTTGGTTCTTCAAAGCGTACAAAACTCTCTTCGGATGAATCCAGAAAGCTGTCACATTACAGTTTATCTATCTTTCCTGTAAAGTATCCTAAAAAGTCTATTTCTCATATTTATTGCGATGCTATCTCATGTATTAAAGTTTTATATTTTATTTTTGCAGGATGAAATATTACTAAAAATATTAATGAACTTGGATTTAATGACATTATACAGCATGAGCTGCGTAAATAAGCGCTTAAATAAGATAGCACAGGACTCTAGACTTTGTACATGTTTGAACGTGCGAAATACCCGCGATATGCCTATTATTTATATTAATAATATATTTAATTACTTTATACCTAAATGTAAATATTTGGAACGGGTAGATTTTACACATAGCGACTTTTCTATTTCGCTTTTCGAAAAATTTCTTAAGAATTGCGGGAAGCATTTAACACACTTACGATTAGGTCAATGCAGATCTGTTAATGATCATGTCCTACTCAAAATTTCAACAATATGCAAAAAATTAAAAGGTATGTATACGAGCGCGCGCGCGCGATTATCAAGATTATAGGTAAATTGTTTCTGACCAATACATATTTTTCTTAGAATTAGATCTAAGGGGATGTCGAGACATTACGGAAGAAGGCTTTTCATATCTCGAGAATCTAGATGGCCGGCTGGAACATTTAAGTCTTGGTGTTACATGTATAACATATCAAACTCTTTGTAAAATACTGCAAAAAAATCAAGGAATGCGTGAATTAAATTTGGAACGGTTCGAACGTGATCTTACATTTTCATTTGAATTTTCGGAAGAAGCCTTAGTGTATTACGAAAGAGTCGCATTAGAGTTGAGAAATTCGTGTCGAGACTTGGAAAAAATAAATTTAGCAGGCGTATTTCATATTACACCGCAAAGTATTAAAATCCTTGGTGGCTGTAAGAATTTACGAAAAGTGAACCTTCGGTAAGTATATGTGCTACATTTTCTTTTAAAGTACATATTACCATATTCTTTATTGAAATTTGTATGTTTGCTTTTCTAGCAAGCATCTTTAAAAAGTTACATTGATTTTCTATTTGCGATTGGAGTACTGTAATACTTATATAATTTTGTTACAGAATCCCGTACAATATTGATGAGTATAACTACTGCAGGTTATTTTCCTCCTGTCGAGAGTCCTTGGAAGAAGTCCATTTGAGCAGGATGCGGTTCACCGATTACGTTTTGAGATTACTAGCGCAGTGCAAAAACTTGAAACAGTTATATCTTTATAGATGTAACATAGCGTATAATTCATTTCTAACATATTCTATCATTTTCGAGCAATGTCTCGAATTGCAAAAATTTCATCTTGTGTGCTGCAATATTAGTCGCTGCTTGGCGAAGCAGTGGGAAAAGCAATACCCACACGTGTCTGTTCTCGTAACCGAAACCCCGCGTATACTCCCTCGCTTGAACTAAAGATCATTCTCTAAAAAAAGTGGATTTTACTATTATTTGTTCCCCTCTAGACCATACAACTTTTGACTGATATATTATTGACTGCTAGATTCTCTCAGTTTTTGATTATATACAGTGGCGTCAAAATCAAACATCGGAACATTTCAAATATATATTATTTCTTTCTTATCATAGTCAGTCAGTTATAATTTATGTCGCAGGTTTTTTCTAAATCTAAAATATATAGTCTGTAAAACTAATTTTCCTAATGACAATAAATATAACATAATAACGATCTCTTAAACATTTGCAGACAATTCGAATATATTTTATAAAAAGGGTAAAAAAATGTTTCTTTCTTAACATACGAGCAACAAAGTATATGGTAAAAGTAACGAATACACAGTGCACGATACGCTATGCAGATAGCACTTTATTAGAGAAATCAAATTTCCAGAATTGATCTGGTACATTACTACAACGAGTCGCTCGTACGTTCTCATCGCTATGTAGTTTAGTACCGTCGAGGCAGAGACCAGTTTCCACATGTATTATCCTGCCGTCCTATGGTTAAAAATAATAAATTTTAATCACTCGTGAATCGTACTGCGCTTATTAATGTCGGAAATTAATGTAGCACCTTCGTCAATACCCATTCCTTTCCACCTTTTTCACTGTTGCAGTCAGACATTTGAATTTGCGCATACGATTTTGAATCAATATCCAATATTCTCCCACATGTTTCCTCTCTCCGTAATTCGCCGGACTTGCTCAACGAGAAAAACTAAATTGCCCAAATATAACAAATCTTTAGATTTAAACACGAGCACAGATGCGTTAACGTTATTGTAATCTGTATCAGTATTTACATACCTGACTTGGATATAACTTGGTGTGACAATTGTATAAACCTAAATTGTACGGTTTATCTTCTTCACGTTGCAGATTGTCTAAACACAGTCGTCTATTGCGCAATTTGACACGGCCGTAAGCTATTGCGTTTTCATCGGGAATGAATTTTTCCGGGTAAACATTGTCGAGATACCATTTAAAACTTTTACATTTGAGCTTTCTCCGCAATTCCAAACGTTTGCTTATGTCGCCAATGAGTTTTGGATTGTCCTACGGATATTATTTATCTATACAGATGCAAAGATCTTGATTACATGATATTTTAATCTCACCTTGAATTCACTACGATGAAGTAAAAATAATCGTTTATATTCATCCATCCATACAAATGCTAAACGGGCAGTATTTATTCCGTGAGTATCTTTATCGTTTGGGAATTTATATGGATGAAAGTTTCGAAATATATGGCCAACGCGAGAGCAAGGAATTATTTCTAGAGTACCACCGCACTGCCAAATCTGTTGAAGATTATCAATTTATCAAAGAATATAAAATCTCATTAAACCAATATAAAATTTTTAGCGTACATGCTTGTAGTAATAAACCTACGTCATATAATTTTAATGTACTTGGAGAAATTTTACTCACTCTGAAGGATATCTCCAAATTTTCGCCTCCCCAGCCATCCATCTTATCGTCATAACTACCAATTTCCCAAAAATATCTTTTATCAATAGCAAATAGACCGCCTGCCATAGTAGGAGACCTAGTTGGCGATATAGGAGAGGAACGCGACTCGATCTCGGGTTTCTGAATATTTATCCACGTGAAATGTCCCGACCATGTAAAACCACCAACTTGAAAGAAAAACGCCTCGTTATCGTGGAAGTATTCTAATGTCTCCTCGGAAATGTTATCAATTATTGGCATTAGTACAGCACTTTTATTCTCCTTTATTCGCTGTAGCAGAGGTTGTAACCTGCATTATGTTAAAATGCATGTATTAATAAAGTTCTCTTTCTCTTTTGTGTAAAGTTATTTCAATATTTCTGATTTAAAAAATCAGATATACGAAAAAACAAGTATCTTCTAATTAAACTGATATCACAGATCAAAATACCAGTCTTTAATAACTTCGCAATGTGCATCCAGGAAGACGAGAACATCGCCCCTAGCAATTTTAGCCCCATGTAGACGAGCACGTATCAATCCTTGTCTATACGGTAATCTCAGTAGCTTTACTTTGGCGGGTAAACGCGTCGAAAGATAATAATCCAATTGTCCCTGAAGTTCTTCTACAAATTAACACAATCAGAAAATATATTTTACATACAACATTAATTATTTAACACATTGCATTCTGCCAAATGGTTACATCATTCTTATGTAATAATTCTTGTGTAACGATTATATTTTATAAAAAGAGCATTTTATGGCATTTTCGAATATCATTGCTAGATCTAAAATAATGTCTAATAATGTAACATAAATAGCAGATATACAGTTTAAGAAATCACCAATATGTTGATTTATATATTAGTTACATTAATTTTGATACCTTCCTCGCTGTGATCGTCCACTAAAATAATCTCTTTTAATAGATTTGGCGGAGAACCCTTCAAGACACTGTGCACTGTGCGTAACAGAACGCTCCATGGTTCGTTATAAAAAATAATTATTATACTAGCACTTGGTAATAATCTATCGTATGTAAGATTTGCACATCTGAAATCAGTAAATATCACATTCATTTAGAAATACAAAAGAGAAAGGATATTCTATACGTACATCTACATATATTTATGTAAAAATATCTTTTCAAACGCTATGCGTACTATGCACATTAAAATCTTACAGGGGGTTGCGTACATCTGGTAATTTTCTGGTCAACGATATCTTATTTGAGAGGACGACATTCAACGCTTTTTTCGCAAGTGCCGCTTCACCTAGAACCTTATCTCTTCCGTATAGATAAGCGGGTTCTCCGTCATCCCCAAGTCCAGGTACAACGTTGCGTTCCAATTTTGATATCTGCTGCTCATATCTAAAATATTAATAACTAGTATATTATTTTAATTTAAAATTTTAAAAAATAATAATTAATGTAAGATTTATGACCAGTCTACAATGAGTCGTTAGTCGTTAGTCAGATGTCGGAAGAAATAGTTATAAGCGTATTGTAAGCAATCGAAGGCCTGTAATCGGTGATCGTAAGAGATGGCATTTGGCCAATCGCTTATGATTGCCGATTACAGACTTCCGATCGCCTTATGACACGTTTATGACTTTTTTCGACTCTCTTCCGACATCTGACTAACGACTCATTGTAGACTGGCCATTACAGATAAACAGATTGCAATTGCAACAGAGTTGAGAAAAGTAGGGTCAAACTAGAGACCCTCGAATTAGAGCCTGGCCATAAGACAGCCAGTTTTTATTGTCCCGCCAGTTCTGTCAAAAGAGAAAGAGAAAGAAATATGAATGTATATCCTTCTCCCTCGCAGGATTTTGACTAAAACTGGCCGGTCTCTTATTATAGAGTCTCTATAGGTCAAACAAAATTACCTCTCCACCTGCAACCTCTGTAATGCAATATCCACATCTTTCTGCCTCCGAGAGTTATTGCCATTCCTCGGGAATGGAAGCTGCTCCTTGTAAACCCTGGGATTGTCATTGGCACGAAATAATTGCTTGGCAATTATCAGAATACCGATTATGTAAAATATGCAAAATGACAATTTCACCAGAGACTTGCGGCGGGTAAGCGCCATTCTCTCTCTCCTTCAGGAATATACCGTCGGACGTATCATCAGATGTACCGTCAGAATATACCATCCTGACGTGAACTACCGAACAACCGGCGGCATGCCAGCTGTTGTAATTATTGTTGATAAGACACAGCTGTCAGTTGCGCTAGGTTATGGCGGAGCAACACTTGTCGGATGAGCGAGGTCCTATACTCCGCTCATATCACGTGCACATCTGCAACAGGTGAATCAAAGTACAGCGTGAAAGCGAGCCACTTTGTACGTACATTCGTAAAAAATATCGCATTAATGCGGCGGAGACGTCACATATGCTGCGATATTAACGCAATGTGTGCCGGATATACTCACTCGCTTAACGAACGTAAGGAAAAAAGGACGAAAGAGAGGAAAAGGCTAAATTTAAGCATGTATCAGCGCCTGTGTAATGGAACCGCTCTAACCGGTTGTGCATTTAATATACGCGTGTCTATCTCTCGCGTTTTCTTTCTCTCCTTCTTTCATACAAGTTTGCGGAATTGAGCATATGGGTGGGTCATATCAACCCAGCTGACAGCCAGATCTGTCATATAATGGATTGTGAACTGCTGCAAGTGCAACAAAAACAACGCCAAGTACGATAACGGCGCAAGTAATGATAACGGCGGAAATCGTGCGAAATCTGCCATCCCCAATTTCGTAATCATTTGAATAATATATCCCGTGTAAATGACGATTACGAAACGACGGCTTCTGCTCGATCAGGCTCAATGTAGATTGACGTCAGTCAATCCGTGATATTCTGCTATTCGTATCTGTTGACAAACTGATGATATATCCGCTAACATATTTTGCTTACTGAGAATCTCGAGCATTGAAATTATCTTAAATTGCTCCTTATATTAGAAAGAAGGAAAAATAAAAATTTTGTAAAATTTATACATAAAATCAATACTATTTACATTTTGCTGGGTAAAAGAACTTTCTAAATGTACATGTGCATATATACGCACGTTTACATATAAGTTAAACTTGTATTTAATTCATGCAACAGAGTAAACGTTATTAGAGGGAAAATATCGTAACAATAGAGAGTGTCCCAAAATCACTGGATGTCTTTTTAATATAAGGCTCTTTGGCTAAACGCTTTTAATCTGTGGTAGAGTTTTCCTTGGCCGAAATGTCGAGGAAGATCATTATCTATTGCAACTTTCTCTAATCTTTTGTATTTTACATTTTTGTAAGCCTGAAATTCGAATTAAAGGAAATTCCATCCGAAATCAGTTAAGAATGCACCTTTGTTACACATTTGGCATTTTCAGATGTAATTTGCAAAAGATTTTTTTTTTTTTTCAATTATTTGTAATTCGAAAATTATTGATGCCTCAACATTTTTGTCGAAGACAAATTGATATTAGTTTAGCCGAGAAATCTATTATTAAAAGAATCCAATAACGTCGAGAAAATAAATTACGACACTTGTCTACACACATAAGGGAAGGATTACAACATTCTAAATGCAAAATTATTCTACAATTTCTTCTAATTTATTGTCAAAATTGAAACACTAAAATGTTTCCTGTACATAATATTAGCAGTCCCATCTCTTCTAATAGTCCCCTTTGTAAATATATCATGCAACACACACACACACGCACACACAAATAAAACCAAAGTGAAAGCGGCAAAATTAAGAATTTCTAGAATTAGCATTGCGCATTGTTTTTCTCTCTTTAGTAGAGGAGAAGAACTTTTCAATATCGGAAAATGATTTGCCCAGAGTTTCAGGCAGAAAAAAATATACAAAAGCTGTACCAGTTAGAGATATGAAGCTAAAAGAGAAAAAAATACCCTCGATAGTCATGCTTTTCAAAAGGTACGGATAGCTCTTTATCACAGCAAACATCATTATGTAAGCGAGAGAAACCATGAGACCCCCACCAATACCACGTATGGACACGGGTAATAGTTCCCCGATCATTGTCCACGGTATGACTATAAATCCAAGCGAACTAGTGCAGATGTAAGCCAACACGAAGAATAATAATAGCCACTTTTGATCCACCGTGGTTTCCTCCGTATTACCATTTTCATCGTACGACAGCGCAAAATGCATGTACATTCCAGAAAGAAACATAGAAATGGCCATTCCAATCCCACTCAAGATGCAAAGAACTCTCCTGCCGTATTTTCTACTACAAAAAACTGTTACTATACTTATAACGAATCGAATGATACCTAGCATAACGAGCGCGCTGTGTTCGTTAAAATTCTTGCCAAATGTTCCACCCATTTCGCGAAAAACTGAAATGGCATAAAATATGATCACATATGAGCCGGATAGTTGCTGCAGTAAAAAAAGGAAGAAAAGTATCAGCAGAGGCTTATAGGCTGCCGGGGATGTAAACATGTGGTAATAATTTTTTATGGCTACTGCTATACTTTTTGGCGCTTCGTCACTCGCCCCACGACTTTCGCAAGTCTCCATAATTCGCGAATATTCTTCCTCATAAATCTAGAAAATTTAATTTATTCGTTGACACTCTGAAATTCTGAATGTGGACAATGCAAAACACTATATTGTACTCACTGTTTGCCTTCTGTTAAGCCGTTTCAAACTGTGTTTCATTTTGGAAATTCGTTTCTCATTAAACATGCCATTTTGAAAGCACATAAGCCAGTAGGGACTTTCAGGTATAAAGTAAAGTATTGAGAAAATACAACACTCTAGCGCGAGGAAAATTATAGTCATTTTGCGCCAGTCTAGCATCACGGCCAGACAGCAGGTAATCAATATACCTAACGACACAAACACGGAAGTAAGGCACAGAAGCATCGGTCTGACTTGCGGATGTGTAAGTTCTGATATGTAAACCAAAGCGACGGTTGTTAAGCCTGCTGCGATTCCGGCTACAACTCGAGCCGCATAAATAGTAATTAAGGAGTTGGCAAATAACAAAGAAACCCATGATACTGCTGCGGGAACGCAAGATAACAGACAAATTGTTTTGCGTCCAAATTTATCCATCAGAGGCCCAGCAATGATGGATCCTATTGGCAATGTTATTGTAACTAGACTTGCTGTAGAACAAAATAAATGCAAAATAATACATAATATTACTAACTACAATTCTAATTGTCTATCGATTACTGTACAGCACAAGCCACATAAAACTCTACGCTCTATAAACTGCACTAATTTTCTACTGAACATCTACTGTATTCCTTAAGCGCAAATAAATTTCAAAGACTAACCGATCCAAGATCCTTCGCTCTCGGTTACTTTTATATCAGAATTATCTGATTCTAATCCATCTAATAAAATGGTACTGTAAGCCATGTTTATACCAGCCTTTATGTTTATACACTGAATCATACAGCTTGCAATAATCTAAAAGATGATACATAATAATTTATTTATTATCTATTTTAGCCGCTGTATTAGTCAACTAGATTCTGTTACACGATTTATAGCATTCATTGTGCCTGTGTATTTTGCTACGCCTGTGAAAATATTGAGGACTTACCTGTGGCATTATATCTGCCAATGTAATTTTCTCTTTCGAACTTCTATCGGCGATCCGTGGAAGAAAATTACTGCAAAAAATTTAAATTTTCTTCATTTTTTATCATCCGCCCAGGGTTGTCGGTCTTTAAACCAGTATCTCGTCGACGTTAAAACCAAGCAAAAGAAACAGAGCAAATAACGTTAAATACATTCAAATTTAAACGTAAAAATTATTTCTGCAGATAATTTATAAATTGTACGTACAATAAAAAAATATTCATATGTATTTATATTGCACAAACACACTTCGTTCATTTTACCTGACTTCATTGCGAAGTCTCTCGTTAGGTTCCATAACTGTGCGCGTCTCTCCTTCATCGATTTCTCTTGTTTGATTCATTTCAAATAATAATATCAAAACTTGCGAAGATATCTCTGAAATATAAAAAGCAGACAGTAAAACAATGAAAAAGAATCTTTGATAGAGGATGAAGGTTATGGGTCTGTTTCTTTTTAGCTGCACTAGAGCTGAACCAGGCTGAACAGGTGCATTTCACTCCTTACTGCACCAGTTCAGCCAGTGCAGCTCGAGTTCCAAATCGAACTTTCGATCTGACCTAACCTAACTCAAATTCAGTGTCGGGTCGAGTCAACAAATTACAGGAAATCGAAAACGCTATTTATTTATTTCCATATATAAAAAAAATACACATTCTGTCGTCTACCGTTTCAGTTGAGTAATGGTGATACTGAGTTAAAATTCGTATGAAAATGCAAACAATATAAAATGATAGGGCACACGATTTCACGGGTATTAACGAAAATATTGTCAGCATTAGCTCTGCGAGTGTAACATGTGTAATGAGACATGGGAGCAGACAAATTATATTACGTTTGTTTATATTTTACATAATTACAACGGACGAGGAATCTCAGTATTGCTAAAGTAAGAAAGACTTCATCGATCAATATGAATTGAGCGATGGCACCTGCAAAGGACAAATGGATCAGGCGTTTTATAATTACCGAAACGAGACGGCACAAGAAGGGCTTTACAATTTACAAAGTTATTTCTATGGTACGATTCTATGGTACACTTGGTAATATTGTATTTTCTTCCTGCATTTCGATATTAAGTCTCTTATCTTTTTTCTTTTCTTTTTTAGGTATTTCTGAAATCCTCTCACGAAGAGGTGTCGAAGGTATCCGTATGGAAGCGTTACAATGATTTTAAAAAGCTGCACTCGGAACTTAGTCACTTACACAAGCGTTTGGGAACAAAGGAGACGTTCCCAACTTTCCCCAAGTCGAAATACTTTGGCAGATTTGAGGCTGAAGTTTTGGAGGAGAGGAAGAGATACGCTCTTAAATTTTTGGAATTTGTAGGACGATACTCGTACTTATATTCGAGCGATATCTTTATAACGTTCTTCGAAACTAGTCACGTAGATAATTATACTAATGATTGCGCACATTCCCTGAATTCCGATACGTCCGAAGACGATCGTATTGCTGCTTTCGGCGATTCTGCGCTTGTAAATGATAATACAGTGCAAAGCACCCTTCCGGCTCCATTGAAAGCGTCTCGCAATGTATCGACAAATCCATGTTCCACTTTGTCAAGCGTCAATCGTACGAACAAGAACGAATTGACGGTGTATCGGAGAAAGAATGAATCTCATGGCAGTATTAATCTACAGAATGCCAACGTTAGTAGAGAGGAACAAAACTGTAAAACGGCAAAATTGCAAACGCAAGATGCTATCGTTAAACATTATGACGCGCATCAAAATAAAAATTTAGATAAAAGCGATGCGGCGACGCTCGGCGATGCGTCAGGATTTGATTGTCTGAACAACAATATCAGTAAACTTATTTCAAATTACGATACACACCCTGTAATATTACATAAGGAAGCAAATGTTTCCCAGGCGCGGACAGATTCTACGCAATATCTTTTGATAGCTGCCGCTCATATAAGTGCAGCCTTCACGCATGAATCCATAGCGGAATACAAGGAAGCTTTCGCACAGTACAAATTGGGAATATCGTGTCTGATAAACGGTGTGCAGTTTGACACAGACAGCACAAGAGTACCAAGCATAAAGGATAAAATATCAAAATACTTGGCTAGAGCTGAACAATTATATAACAAGCATTTAAATTGTAACATTTCAGTAATACACAAACCGATATCAGAGCTTCAATATTATAAAGTGCTTAAAATAATGAAATCCGTGATGCTTGTAATGGATATACGTTCAAATTGTAACAGAATAATCAAGGTAAAAGATTCTTAGCTACATGTTTGAGATACAAAGTTACTTAGCTATGTTTCATACAAAAGTATTATTTTTTAAATAATTTTATTATAAACAAAAACTTTATATAAAAGAACATTTTATGATAGTGATTAAATGCAGTAATACATGTAGCTTGAGAAAATTTTAATTTCTAAGTATAATTCATAATTTCAGACTGTAGAAAAATCTTGTATTTATGAAGACAACATAAGCAATTATGTGTTACGCAACCAAGTACCTTACATGGTATATTTATGCGCGTGTATTGAAACTGAGACTTCTGTATTTTTAGTCCTCCAATATGCAAGGTACAGTATGATAATTTTATCTGTGATATTTATATTTTGCACCTGCACGAGACCGTATCGGACTACCGACTGCAAAGGCCGACCCGACTGCCGACTGACTGGATCGGCCAACTCGCGTTTAAATTGGAATCTATTTTTCGAGTCGGCAGTCGATAGTTTGATACGGGCCTTTGCAGTCGGTAGTCTGATATGGGCTACAATATATCATTGACTTATATATTTTTTTATATTGTGTTACAGTAGTGGAAAACTGTGGGACTTTGTAAGACTACATTACAAAGTATCTGACAATTCGTGTAATGTAATTTCAAATCACACGTATAATAGAGATATCAGTGGACAGGCCAATAGCAATGAAAATATTCGTGGACCAAATAAGGCAGATGAAGTTACGGAAAACAAAGTACAGGAAGATCATCAATACGCGACGGATATTCAAAGTGATAACTATATAAAAATGCCTACTATACAATTGTTAGAAAAGTCGCAAGAATTATTACAATCTGTTAACGCAACATTGAGGAAAAGCAACTCTATCGCAAATCGATTAAATGAATATAAAGAATTGAGACATTCAGAAAGTATACCATCGCTGAATACAAAAACTGTCACACAGTTCTATAAGGAGACAGATCTTACATTATCTAATACTCATCGCAACAAGTCACCAAATCTTAATAATATGAAGATAGATGACATCATTGTTGCAGAAAAGTCTTCGAAAAACAGTTTTGTAGAGAACAAAGATCCGAAAGGCGATAATTCTTCATTAATGAACAGCAACCAAGATCCAAATATGTCGAGAAACATTTGTGGATCTATATTAAATGGAAGTATGGCTCGCGATTCACTAAAAAATAATAAAATAGATAATTTATTGCGTAACAACTCTACTTCGAGGATTATTTCAATGCAGAACGCGTCGACCAATAATACAATACACATCTGTGAAAATAATAATACTGAAAGCATATCCAATCACATAAATTCATCAAACATTAATTTTAGCCCTAATGAAACGCAATATTCGCATTTGTGTAAAGAGAATAATGTAGATGAAGAGCAGGAGTTTTGGCGAGTGCCGGAAAGTGTAATTCGATCATGGGCAGCGGAAATTCTTTTAGCTTTAGAAGCACTTCATCAACAGAATATCCTGATTCTCGATTTCAAACCCGATGATATTCTTCTCGACGACGCAGGACATATCCGGCTTACTTATACCATACCGCGACACAATGTTGAATTGTCTAAACTAATATATCCATATTCGTCACCCGAGTCAGTAATGTTTTCTCCGACTATTCCCGTTACGTCCGCCACAGATGTTTGGAGTTTCGGAGTTATTTTGTACGAGCTACTTACCGGCACCGTATGTAAAAAAAAAATTAGATATAAAAAAATATATACTTTAACAACACTTTAACAATAATAAAGTCCAATTTTGTTTCACAGATGTTTAGCAGGAAACATCCAGGATCGTTTCATTCACATTCCACAATTAACATTCCTAGCAGCTTATCGGAAAGTGCAAGATCTTTACTAGGCGGCGTAAGTCTACATTCTGTCCTACTTTTTGACATTAGTCTCTTGATTTAACTTTATGATGTTCAATTTCAGAACTCTATTTTGTTTAATAAAACTTTTTGTTGCCATCAATATTTGCTATGCACTCGCACATGTGCACATAATTATAAAAAGTGATAAATTATAATGTTATTTATAAAATTATTGTTGCAGATGCTGAAATATCATCCAGAAGAACGACTAACAGTAAATGAAATAAAGCGTCATTCATTTTTTGCAAGAACTGATTGGTTGAACATGATTAATTCGCAAACTTAATGCTAACATTATTAAGAAATTAATCAATTTTACATTTGTTGTAATAGTTATAGCATAAATATTTATTATTATATAATGAAGGTACAAATTTATTTTACGGCCAAAAATGTATTTCAATATTATGAAACAAGCTTCACTTAAATTATATATTTAAAAATGTTGATTTTGTCATAATAATAAAACTTATGTTAGATAATTATTTAGATCTTGCTTTTTCACTTCTACTTATCGTTGACATACCATCAATAAATCTAGTTGTAAATAAAACATTGGCATTGTTGAACATACCGTTCTTTAAGGATACAATAATAAATTGCGAATGTTTAAAATGTCTCTTTAACATTGTACCTATGTTTTCTGTATGTGAAAGATCCAAGGCGGCATCTACTTCGTCCAGAATATAAAGCGGTGCAGGTTTATAAAGAAGCATAGCCAAGACTAATGACAAAGCAACTAGGGATCTCTGACCACCAGATAATTCTCCTAACGACTCTTTCCAGACACCTGAGAATCCAACTTTTACTTCTAAA